AGAATCATGAATATTATGAATAAACCTCTGTTTTCTCTATGAATCACCCAACCTCAGATATTTGTTAGCAATGCAATAATGAACTAAGACAGGTTCCAAAAATGCCTGCTTTGTCCCCTTGGAATTACACCCAAGTTACCTTGAGTAGTTTCTTGGGGGGTCCAGACCCTTCTGTTTATCAACAGACAAAGGCTTGGGTTACTCCCAACTTCCATGTGGGGGCTTCTCTGATTAAACTCCAAGTGAAAACTTTTCATCCAAGGAAACATTAAGCTTGCTGCTCCTTTCAGTCTATTTTTTTTTTAAGCTGTTGAGATAGAGCATGAGACGATGCCTGTAACTTTCCAGTTAGTATTAATAGCTCTGCATATCCAGTAACACTATAACAGGGAAAAGGGGGCAGGTGCAGATGTCCCCAAGAGAGCTTTTGCTCAGTGACTGTGGGGATTCAAACCCTAACCTGAACCTCCACCCTGAAGAGATTCAAAGGGTGCCAGCCTGCATATAGCCTGGGAATGGCAGAGACATTAGATCCCAACTGAACTAACTGGCACCAATGTGGACAGTGATTGCCTCTCCCAGCTAATGCTAAAACTCTGGCTCGGCTGCACTCTAAGAACACCTCTAACTTAGTTGCAGAGATGGTCAAGGATCCAACAGAAAGTCAGCCTAGATATGGAACATGTTCCAAGACGGCAAGAATGGGTGGATATCTTTGCCTCCTGCCCTTGGGAGCAATTACAGGCTTTATGTTCACTACCCTGAAATGGAGGAGAGAATGTACAAGGGAAATAGAACACTTGGCTTTTACTTTCCAGTGAGAATGAGAGTTATAAGACACTCCTCCAGGGCATGTTTTACCTGTAAGTGCCCAGGGCCCCATGAGGAGAGTGAAAACCCCTTCTGCATCCTCAGAACTGCAAACCCCTCACTAGTCAGGTGGGACACCTGGAGAGACACTGGATCTGCACGCTCTATTCAGTGTATAAGCTTGAAAGTAGTCATCATGAAAAGGGAATGATTTTCAACTTTAGGAATGAAAGAGAGCTGGAGTCCAAGGGCCTTTCCAATACTACTAGAAAGAAAGAAAAAGTTATGTGTCCAGCCAGTAGCATGGAGGTTAAGGTGGCTAGATCCCACATGACCAGCTGCACAGTTCAAGTCCTGGACCCAGCAGTTTGAAAAACATACGAGGCACATGTGTGTGCATGTCTAAAATACAGAAAGGAGAATGAAGAAGGCATTGTGACATAGCCATTCCCCTCGGGGGGATGTTTTCTTACTACTCCCCCTCATCTCTCTCCAGTAAGTGTACACGCCCTATAACAAATAAGAAGAAGAAAAGTGATTTGTGGAGCGCTCCTGATACACTGGGCACTACACTAACCACTGGGTGTGCATGACCTCGTCTGATCTCCAGAACAACGCAAGGGGTGAGTCTTAATAGCCCCATTTTCCAGTAGGAAGGCTAACCACTAGGAGAGTTACATAGTCTATTGACTCCAGATCAACTTGATTGGATCAAGGAAGTGGCTGGGCCTTGATCCAATCAAGTTGATTGGGTCTGGGTCCAGATCCACCTAGTACTTTCCACTTAGCTGCACCGTCCACACCTGCCAGGAAGGGTCTATGACAACATGGGCTGCATTAAGATTTCCTAAATTTCATAACCTCCCTGTGCTTGTTATTATTTATTTATTTATTTATTTATTTTTGTCTCTCTGATGTCTGTGCCGCCTCTGATTTGTGAGAATTCAGGAAAAAAAAAATCTTCAAACAAGAGGACTCCATCTGCTTGTCTTCAGAGGCAGCAAGAAGAGAAATCTCCAGATCAGTGGGGCTGGAGCAAGAAATAGCATCTAAAGGGAGAAATTCTAGGGCCTTTAGAAAGACAGAAAGGAAGAGCCTGGGAGTCAGGTCAGGAGGAGCTGTATCCCAGCTACTAAAGATAAAAAGAAAGGCCTTGGGGCCAGCAGGTGGTACAGTGGTTAAGACACTCGACTCCCACATGGTCAACTGCAGTACAAGTCCTGGACCTGGTGGCTTGAAACTCATGTCAGGTGCATGTGCTTGCATGCACAAAATCCCCAAAGAAGAATGGAAGATTTCTTGCTTTCTCTCTCTCCGTCTCTGTCTGTCTCTCCAGCAAGCACACATGCCCTCTAGCAAAAATCTCTTCAGAGAAGCAGCCTCACACCAAGTGCCCAGACACATAAAGAAAAATATTTATATAGTACAAACAGGGTCAAAGGTACCCTGATATTTGAGGGGCTCTGGCCATTTCATGGAAATTAGTATAACACACATGCAAAGAGCCATTGTTCTTTTAAAAAATTAAAAAGTAATATTCTTGGGATTGAATAATATCGTTTTCCTAAAAGGTTCCATAGTTGTTTTCATTTTGGTCACATCTGTGCTGAGGCTGGGCTGAGGGAAATCGTGCTAGGGTCACTCTTGCTATGACATTCTGTCATCCTTTTAGTCTTAGGTAAACTGACACTCCCTTCAAGAAGCAGCCACCCATATCTAAGCCAAATAAGACATCAAACATGGATATATAGCTGTTCCTCTGATTAGAGGGAGATTGGCCCCCATGGATGCCAAAGTCCACATAAACTCACATCCCTATACAAAATAGTACATTTGCGTATAATCTGCCCAAATCCCCTGTATATCTTAAATCATCTCTAGATTACTTATACCTAATACAATGTAAATGCTACATAAATGGTTGTTAGGCTGTGTTATTTGTATTATTTGTATTGTTATATTGCTATTTTTTGCTCAATGGTTGGTTGAATACACACAAACATAGAGGGCTGAGAAAATAACCATGTTCTTCCTCTAAACAAAATCCCTCCATGTTTCTCCATTGCTGGAGAACAAAACCTATTCCCCCTATTGGAAAAAACAAGGCTCTTTCTGATTTACTCTTTCATCTCAATCCTTTCTCCAAACCTCACCCTCACTCTACATTCCACCATAGGTACTTACTATGAAGGTTTCCCACATACTCCAGCTCCCTTACACTTCGCTGCTGGGGGCTGTGCCACCAAAATTAGGCAGTTGAATCAATCTGTACTGAGATTACTAAAACACAAGGCTTGTAAAACTCAGGGACTAGCTGTACTGCTCAGCCTCAGGTCATGTCAGGGGATAAGCCATCCACCCCATGGGTGGATTGGAATCATGGGCTCTGCCATTGCTCGATGCAGGGTGTCAGGTAAGAGTGTGGACCTCAGACACAATCGGAATTGGCCCAATCCTGTCTTGCCATTTACTAGCAATGTGACCTTGGCCATGTATCTGATTCTTCATTTCTTCATCTGGGATACACAGAGTACTAACATCCAAAAGGTTAAGGGTGAGGAGTGTCTGCTATATAGCAGGTACTCAATAAATGTCTACTAGTACTAGAATTTCTAGAAGTAGCAAGAAATAGTTCTTTGGGGATACCACTGGACTATAGCACATATTTTGGTTGAGCTGTATGCACTCTCTGAAGAGACTGACCCAACCACCCCAAAATCACTCACATTGACATAGAATAAATTGCCTTCAATATTTTACACAGCTTGGTTTTTCTGTGAACAGTCACCACTATAAGATCTTGGCTAAATTACTTAGCCTCTCTGAGCCTCTGGCTTCTCGTCTAGGGGCAACCATCTCACAAATAAGATAACAAGAAGGGAAATGGTTTTTAAGTATAAAATATGGCTCAAGTCTGGGAACCAGCAGTTAGTGTAATGGCTATGTCACTGGACTCCCACGTAGTCGACCGCGGTTTGCGTCCTGGACCCAGTGGCTTAAAACTCATGCCAGGCGTGTGTGCATGCGTGCCCAAGATCCCGAGAGGAGAATGGAGGAGAAGGGATTGCGGCGTGACCATCCTCCCTAGGGGGTGATTTCTCGCTTTCTGTCTCTATGTCTCTCTCTGTCTGGTGAGCGCACGCGCCCTATAGCAAAAACCTCTCCAAAAAAAATAAAAATATGGCTCAAGTCTAAGGTTCTTGATTTGCTTTTTTCTCTCATGGCTGATTTTACTGCAGATTAAAAAGCTCTTATCTATAATTCCAAAATAAGACAGATTAAAAAAACAGTATTTTTTATAATTTGTTTGGCTGCAAACCTTAACCTGAATTGATGTCTTTTTATAATCTTTATCCCACTTTATTTTGAATATTCATTTTTTTGCCACGGAAATAATGTGTTTCTTTTTTTAATAATTATTTATGTATTATTATTATTTTAATTTACTACAGGGCATGCATGCTCACCAGAGACAGAAAGAGAAAGAGAGAGAGAGAGAGGGAGAGGGAGAGGGAGAAAGCAAGACTCTAGGTCCAGGACTCGAGCCATGATGGGCCATGTGGGAGTCTAGCGCCTCAATCACCAGGCCACCTGCTGGCCCCAATGTGTTTAATAATTGTCTTAGTTACCTCAGGGGCATCACGTAGGGCATGTGATATTCTGAATCCTGAAACACACCTGGCCTCCCCAGTTTTGCTTAAGAGATTATGAATTTATATTACAAGAGTATATCCTAAATTGCAGTCATTCATGTGTCACTTACATGGTTTCTGTCATATCCTGTATAACTGGACTTCAAGAAGTTCACAAGACTCATCTGTTTAACACAGTGGAACAAACCTACTTTAAGCAATGGTGATCTGAAACTAGCACAAGAAGTTAGCTCTTAGAGTCAAAACATAAGGGAGAAGTGTGATTAGTAACTGTGAGGCATGGGTTTATTGTTGAGCATCAGCAGTACAAGTCTACTAAATGC